ATAACTGAGAGAGACCACATCCACAAAACTGATCCTGCTTCAAGTCATATGTTTGAGAAGTAATTTTCATCAGGAATTGATAAAAGCAAATTTTCTGGTGATATGAGGATATGATTAACTTCCTTGTGCAAATAATAGATTTTTTTGTTGTTGTTGTTGTCTGCTCTGAAAAACTTTTCTTCCTCTCCCCACTCCCCCCTCCAATTTTTGTTGCCCTATTTGTCTACTGTCTAGTATTAATACGAATGATTTGGCAAAAATGTCTGAACCTCTCTCCAGGATTTCATGTGACAAAGTGAAGCTTCTTTCCATATGAAGTCTTTGAGTTTGTTGTTCTCTAAATGAAAAGTCTGGCCCTCAAAACTAGAGGAGGAGAAATAATAGGTGATGTGAACATGAAAGTGCTGATCAACACAAGGGAAGCACAGAAAAAGTGTAGGTATGAGTGTCAGGCAAGTTGTGCCATTTAGTACAGAGAAAAATAGAATTGATAAGAACAGAGTAAAAATAGAACACGTAAATTCACCTATCAAGTAAATCAGCTAGGAGTGATAGGAGATAGAAATCTGAAACCTTTGGCATAGTGTCTGGCAGCAGTTTAGAAAGTAAATAGGGCCTTAGGAGGTATAATTAGAGGGAGTGACCAGGCTCATCAGTAAGTGAAGCATTAATCAGGGAAAAAACAAGACAAAGCCACTTTTTGTCACTAACTATATTGGCTGTCATGTTACACAAAAAATACAGATATAGAACCTGTAAAGGTGAGTGCAAGTATCTATAAAGGCAACACTTTATCAGTTCCTATGGATGGATTTACAGTTTTTAAAGAAATTCTCTTTGCCAGTTTTTGCAGTCAATCCCAGGTGTTCTAATCCTTAAAGATTTTATAGTTTATAGACTGCTAGACTGTAAGCAGCTGCTAAAAGTGTTTCATGAAAAAGCATATACAGCACCTCAATATATATTAATACATGACTTCTCTGTGATCCTTCAGTTTAGGCAAGCCCATGCTTTTTCATAATCTATATATCTATATAGATATATATAGATAGCAGATTTATAACACATTGGTACAATGCAGTATATCAGTATACATTTCATAACACGCAGGTATTTGCTACTATTGTAGAATCTCAGTACTTGCCTTTTGTAAGAGGAACTGCTTTTAAATGCTGCTCTGCTTTTAATTCTGTAGTGCTGAAAACATCCCCATCTAACAAGAATCTTAGACCACTTAGATATTATTTCTGATGGCCTGTTTCTGTGAGTGTGGCAATTAAGAATGAAGATGTGTAAATCACATACAGGAATAACTCAGAACTGTTTTCTGTCCCAGCAAATAACTGAAGAATTTGTCTAGCCATAGAGACACAGAAGGAATTCTGGAAAAGCCTGGGAAAGCACTTAGCACTTAACCGATTTAGTCTTATCCTTGGGGCAACTTGAGCTAGATGCATACAGAAATGGAAGTCCACGGCATGTTAGCTGGATCAGGTATAAAAGCGCTTTACTTTGGCTCTAGAAAGGCAAACTGTTGAGGTTCTATCACCAGTTCTTTTCTCCTTCTCTCTCCACATATTTTTTCTACAACCCAACAACAATTAGCTGAGGTTTCAGTACTGAAGGAAGTAGCTTCTGCGTCATGTGGTAAGCAGTAGGATTCCCAACTGAAACCAGGGCAGAAGTCATTTGACCAGCGAGTTCATTGCTAGCCTGAATGTCTGGGTGTACGGATGCTTTACTGAACATGAGTGTCAGAGAATTTAGGTCATGATCAAGGGTTTGTGTGTTCTTTTCCAAAGGGACTCTAATTTCAAACTGAGTATTTGTGAACAATGTGGTTTTTAGCAACGGCACTAGTGGAATGAAGAGACAAATAAAATTGATGCAGCTAAATTCAGAGGCTGAAACAGTCATTCCAGGAGCAGGTTTGTTGAAAGGCTGTAGCTGATTCTGGAATGCACTTTTGGAAACACCCACCCTGGATTCCCAGCTGTGTTTCATGTCCCCTCGTCATTGGTTTGCAGGGGTGGCCTCATAGAACAGCCAACCACAGTTCTTGTGGGCTGGGATCGACTGTTGTTTTCTGTATATTGCTCGTTTACTTGGCAAACAGTTAAAAAAAAAGTTTGGCTTTTTTAAAAATATGTAACTAAGCATAATTCACACATCCTGGGTATCTTCTATAGCTCGAGAGACAATTGATGCTCTTGGTCCAGCTTGGGCCTGTGTTGAATAAAGGCAAGTGAGCTAATCCATGTAAAACTGAATGTCACTTTTTTCCTCAGTCCGACAGTCGTCTTTTTCAGATATTTACTGCTGTGAGGTTGGCAACTGGCAGAGTTCCCAGTCTATCAGACTGCCCTCACATGTTTCCTCCTTAGGAGGACAAGGTATGGCAATGCTTTCAGACAAAAATTAGTACAGTTTTAGGGACTTTATGCGAGTCTTTCTTTCCACAACCTATCTCCTTTTGCTTCATCTCTCCAAATGATAAATCTGGAGGTCTAGGACTTTTCCCCTAAGGAACCACATACTGCAAGATGGAGACTCTAATGCCAAGTGACACTGGGACTCCTCATTCCTTACTGATTTTTGACAAGCTATAGTATGTGAGGAGAGATTAGATGTTGAGTGGTGATAAACAGAGGAAGAAGCATCTTTGCAAATAGGAAGCTTGAAAGTGGGAAAGGCTACAGCACAAACGACCTGTGATATCCAGTGAGGATATCTGAAATAGCTTTGCTTCAGGCTGATTGAATGAAGAACTGACATAAACTCATAGCATGTGCTGAAATTGTCCTGACCTAGCAGAGTCAGGGAATGTTGAAGTCAAAAATCAAGAGAGCCAGTGCCTTGGGACTTGACAGTTTTGGCATAAATCAGGTTAGAACTTAAATCCAAGTTTCTGACTAAGAAATAACATATAAATATACCTCTACCTTGAAAACTCGAGCCTACATTGTGAAACCTGCAATTGCAATTTTTAGCATTTATTTATTTACCATGCTATATATTATGCATCTGTAGAAGGGCCTAAAATTTGATTTCTGAACTGAAATTGTATTGAGTCTGAAGGAAAATCATTGCAAATCTAAGCTCAGAAAATTATTACTGATCACTGAAAATGGTTCATTAAAGAAAGGGCATAAAGATTTAACAAGCTCACTTCCCTGTTCACTGAGAGATGTTTATTCCTCTGCTGCATTCACTGACAGAAGGCTTTTAATATTTCGTAATATTGCTAAAATCTTAACTTATTTTGTAATCATGTATTGGAATAGCAGTTGTTTTTCCTGGTCTGGTCTGCCTTTTTGCTGGCTGGGTTCCTTTCTGTGTGACAGATGTGCTATTTATGGAAGGGGATTCTGAATATTTTAAAGCACTGACTGTTAGGATCATCTCATTCCCAGCCTTTAAAGTGAAGAGAACAAAATGCCAAATAACTTTCCAAAGAAAAACCTCAAAATGACATAGATACCTATTTAATCATTAAAAAAGGAGGACAAAAAAAAATCAAAATCAGATTATTTTCTTACAAGTGAATACGTACGTACAGCAGTCTGGTTGCTGCTGTGCAACATTTTCTGATTTAACGCAATACTTGTTTTTAAAATTGAAAACTAATACCAAGTGCTCTTTTAGCTAAAAAGAAAAAACAAAAAAAATCATAGCGTATACAGGTTCCTAGAGAGAATATGTGGGAGAAGAGTTGGCTGCTTTATTTCTGAGCTCTATTGGCAGGTCAAATGAAAGATAGTGCTTCTCTTTACAAAATCTGGCCTCTCAAAGATCAATTTCAGCAGCTGGCCAGAAACCAGTTATATTCAGTTACACATATAATGAACAGTGTTTACCTAAAGAAACCTTTCAGTGCAATATTTTGAGATCTAACACGTTAATCTTCACAATTCTGTTCGTGTGTTGAGTATCAGCTTGCGGATTCTGCAGGTAGAGAGATGGGGAGCTGTGATAAGTCACTAAGATAGCGTGTGTGGGATTCTGCTCTCGGAACAGGTACATCGTGTGGTTTGTTTTACCTCACCTGATGGGTTAGCCTTCCAGGAAGGTAATTCAGGTTGTAGTCAACTGCGGCACGGTTGTCTTATTCTTCCCTTGGAGACACAGGGACAATGAAAATACAACCAGTTTTGCTTATTAGGCATTAAAAATCCAGTTAACAGTTTTTAATCCCCCCACCCACTCCCCTACCCCCCCGACCCCCCCTCCACCCAGTATCTTTTTCTTTATGTTTGCAAAATATTGTATTTTTGAGTTTTCCAGAAAAGCAGCTTTTAAAAAACATTTATAAAAATCTAATTCCCACAATTACTCTTGCAGTCTCTGCAGAGGGTGATACCAATTTAACATATGCGGCTGAACAATATGGATGCTATTAATCTCGGAAGGGAACAGGAAGAAGTTAAGTAGGTGACGTGAAATTGTTAATTATGATTATTATTATTTTCTGCAGCTGTGGTTCAATATTACAAGATTATATTTTTTTTTAAAAGACTACAGCCCTTTAGTATCTGCATTGACCTCCATGATGTCAGAATGTCATTGTGCAACCGTAGCTAAGAAAAGCCTCCGAGGAGAGAGAGAGAGGGGAGAAAAAAAAAAACAAAGGAGCTTTGCATCTTCCAATAACATGAGATGTGCATATACAGTACGCAGCATTTTGGAGTTCATACTGTGGTACTGAGTTGTTGCTTTCAGTTTGATTAGACGATCATTGTTTCGTTTTCCTTGCTTTGACAGTGAGTATGCTTGTATGCTGCTTAAGTCTTCTTAGTGCTATCTAGGTCAGTATACTTAGGATAGCTTTTATGTTCTGTAAGTCTGACAGATACCGTGCCTGACAAAGATCAGCACCAAATATTTTAGTTTTTAATTTGTTATATCTGAGGCTGGAAAAAACCTTATAATTAATCAGAATTGTATACCACATAGCACCTACTGTTTCTGCATTGCAGATATATTTAGCTCTAACACTGCTTGTGGTTAACAGGGTGTAGCGTAGACACAGACAGCTGATCATGCAGTCGGGAGACCCTGTGTTCGTGTGGTTTGTCGATACTACTCAGGATTTTGATGAACTGTAAAAGAGAGAAAACAGAAAGAAAAAATATTTTATTTGCATGAAAATTAGACATTTAGTTATGTTTTTTTGCTATCATTGTCTTTTTATTTTAATTTTGAGACTTAAAAATTAGGAAAGCACAGCAAATGTATCCAGGATTTAATATGAGCGACATGAAATCTTCCTGCATCGAGAGGATGTTGCTGTAGTCAATCTAGCGTTTCTCCAATAGGCAAGAAGATTGTTTTGTTTTCCTCGGCAGGCGGATTCAGCCATTGCACAGGCAGATTTTGATAAGAGTTTGAAATGCCTACTACCGTATCATTGTAGAATTTGGAGTTTGCTAACAGTATTAGAGACTGGAGCTCATCTTGCATCACCAGTTGATGACAATTTTCTTTGTTCCCTCCCACCCAGTTGAACCAAGACTCTGTAGCTGATACGCAATGTCACTTACAACATTAATCAGATACTGCATTTAAGGTGAGCTGTCCCTTGCCTCCTCCCTTACCAGAGCTGTGCTGCAGTATGTATCTTACTTCTGCAAGCCTAAAATGGCAGGCAGGATTAACGTTGCTTGTGCTGTGTGCATGCTGTGTATTGAATTCATTATACTGTGCCTAGTATCTCAAATGTGAGTATGTAAATGGTCTGTGTGCCATGTCATGCAGTAGGGAAGACTGGTATGTGCTTCATTACAGGCTTAGATATTTGAGCATCACCTTAAGAATTCTTTTTTCATTTGCAATGTGGTGAGCTGTTAGCTTGTCATCACATTCAAAACTACATTATTAGCCCTTCGAAAGGGAGAAAGAAAAAGCAAACTGTGCTTCCAGATGGTGTCACCCTTTTTCTTCTTGCATTTACTGTAGTTTAAATAATGTATATTGTATTGTTAATTAATGTGAATATCGAATTAAAGCACTTGCAACTTACATATTTATTATGCAGGTAGGAGGCACGTCGAATCTATTTTTAACTCTTACGCAGTCCACGTTGTGCAATGGGCTTTGGTTGTTGAGTTTATATTTTCAGCTGTGATATCAATAGGCTGATTTTCAGCAAATGTGACAAGTGGCCTTTGCAGTGGTCAGCTCCAAGCTTTGAACCCTCTGAGGAGGAGGAAAAAAAACCAAACAACCTTGTGTTGCAGTTTCGGGAAACCTTGGATCGAGGACGTTGGTGTTTTGTTTTTTTTTTTTTTTCCCCACTCCTGCTTTCCCTATTGATAAACTCAGCTCTCCTGATCATGGTCTATTTGAGCTGCTTCCTATCTGATTTTTCACAACTGCTTCAAAAAAATTACCAAGACGACCAAGAATAGAACTTATCTCCATTGCTTTACATAAAAATGGCTGGGTGCACTGCCATGCTAACACTGCTCTAAGTGATACATGCAGGTAGGTTGAGTTTTGCATGTTTTACTGATTTCTTCGTCAGTGTTGCAAGAACATGAAATGGGCTTTGGAATGTAGATTTTGGTAAAAAAAAACCGTATTAAGCTGGTATTGAAAACAACCTAATATTGAATTGTTGGCTTTGCATATTGGCATGACAGTTGGTCTTATCTGCTTTAAAAAAAAAATCTATTGTGAAAGTAGAGCAGTCATGTCTGTTAAAATAATCATATGTACTAAGGGCGTGGCAACGCTTATGCAACAAAAGAATTTTTGAAAACCCTATTGATTCAGGTACATTTTTGAGCTGGCTCTAAGCACTACTGAGCTAGCAGTTAAAATACACAAACAAAAACTGAGGCAGGTTAGAGAAATGAAAAATATTTAAATTCTGGCGTAAGCGGTTTTGTGTTTTGTGCGAAATATGAAATAAAGAAGAATATGCTTTAATGCTCATATTTTAACTATTGGGTACAAGCATAAGCCTGCTATTTCTTTTTATTTTAAGGTAGAAGGACTTTAAAGAGAGAGATTGATGTAGATGGCCCTGTCAGCTTAAACTGAATATCAGATCACTGAAGTATGTTTTACTTCACACAAAAAAGGTTATGAAGTAAAAATTTAACAGCCTTAGGTACAAAAACCTGATTTAGAGCATTAAGAATAAAACAGAGTATTGCACTACTTACACCAACTTTTGTAATATATTCATTTCAGATTAATACTGGGCCAGAACCAGTTTCCTTGGCAACCAAATCCTTTTAAAAGGTGCAATAGTAGACATGTAGAAAGATGTTTTCCTCTTTAATAGCAATATCACAATGCAAATGGAAAATTTTGTTGTTTTCTTTCAGTTCTAAGTGAGAATCTCATCTCATTTTATGTTCCCATGCAACTATCATTTCTTAAATGATGCCATGTTTTTAAAGCTGTGCACAACAAAAACTGTTCTATTCCTGTTCTGCATTGGTTGTTTCCAGAAACGTACCCTGGTTTCTTTTTTAAATTTAGCCTAGTCTTGCATACAGGTCAAGGTTTGTACTGTGTGCATATAAAGCGATAGTTTCACTATCAAAAGTATCACTGAAATATATAGCAGCTGAGAAATTTAGGGAATCAGCAGTATGTTTAAACCTTCTTTCACCTTTGTTGAATTCAGCCATAGTAATGCTTAATAAACCTTTCTTTAAATAGTACATCCATTCTGAAGTTCAGGTAAAGAACTGTGTTTTAGCATATTGGAAAAGAACTTCTGTCAGATCCTAAACAAGCCTTTAGAGAATAAGCTCGCTTGTGGTCTGCAGTATCTGCAGACTTTATAGATTTTGCCAAATTTAAGTATTATAATTCCTTATTTCTATTTTTAGCTACTATTTTTAACAGTATCAGTAAAGTGAAATCTTATGTGTACCACAGGTAACTGTTTACACAGAATCAGACGTTACTAAATGTCTCTACTGAGCTTATAACGTAGTGTCTCCTTGTGTACCTCCTTTGTACCTGACTTGAGAAATTCTCACTACTGCAATGAGACTTTTGCAGCAGGGTAGCCATTTTCCTTTCATGTCCTTGACTTTAAAATGACTAAGAATATTTTGTGTGGATGAGGACCCAGCACTGAAAATTAATGCAGAGGAGGTATTTACAAGCACAGCCAATTATCAGTAATAGCCTTGACAGTGTCGGTAATATCAAACTAATTCTCATTTATTTCTAAATATATCACTTCACTGCATTCAAAATACACAGAGTAACTGTTCAGGAATATGACTTGTCTATCTTGATAGGCTAATGTTTGACAATAAAACCATTGCTTCATTATGATGAGATTAGGTTGACACAGTGCAATATTCCTGTTCCACCTAAAGAAGCAGAACTGAAAATGTAATAAACAGCATCTCTCAAGTGATATGTTAAAGTCTGCATTTTTCTGTAATTTGATTTATCTCCAGTAGCTTGCTTCTGCTGATTTTTTTTTTTGTTTGTTTTTTTTGTCTGAAATGCTAATATGGAGTGTGCCATTACATGTAGCTATCAAAATTGCTTTTCTTGTTTATTTCTTGTGTGGTTATTTTTAAAGGAAGTTGATGAGCAAATGCTATGTCGAAGCTATCTATTTATTGCTGCTGATATTTATCTTTAGAAAAGACAGGGCACTTAGTGATAAACTGTTTTTAGTATGTCTTTGTGTTCAAACATACCCACTCAAGGCATTAAAAAAAAACAATGTGCCGCTCAGTTACATGAGCATGCTTCACTATGGTGGGTTTAAATCCATTTGCAAATTTGCCCTTTTATTAGGGGGTACAAGTCCTCTTGCATTTAATATGACTGAACTCAAGTGCTTTCGTGAGTCTGGAAAAACTCGCTGGCAGCCTGTGAATGATAATTTCTTCTAGCTAAAGAAAGTGATGTATTTATTAGGGGAAGAGTCCAGTAATTAACAAGCTGTGTTCGGTTTGCCTATTATATGTAGGCTGCTATATGTATTTTAATGGTAGTTACATCTAGCTAATGCAGAGTGTCAGGATGTTATAGCCAGAGATGCCATAAGAAATCCTCTGTAAACTTGATCCATTTTATTTTCTTTGGCTAAGGGGGCTAACTGGAGCACACAGGAGCAGGTGCAGTTTTTCACACCTCCAGCACAGGCTGCAAATGTTACTGTTAGGGGGGCTCGGTGGTTTGTTGTGGGGTTTGGGTTTTGGAATTTTTGTTTGGGGGATTTTTTTTCCTGTTTATCGTAGAAGCCTTATTGTTGATACAGAGTCCTCCCTTTTTTAATTGAAATGTGGTTTTATCCATGCAAATACCATTTCTGCCTAACAGAAAATCTGTACAGAGCATGACTGAAAATGAAATCAAACTAAAAATCATTGTCAGATGCTATTTGACTTGCTTTTCAATGACCTTTCTGATTAAGATTACTTCTGCCTCTAAACTTCATTTTGATTTGAAACTGCAGGTGTCTCAGTGTGAAACTATCTGTGTTCAGATAATATTTGTCAGCCTTTTAGACTCTGGTAGTAATGAATAGGTACCAGTTAACCCTTTGGGGGTATCTAGTGTCTGATGCACTTTATCGTGTGAGTTGCTTTATTATGTTTTAAAAGGTGTGATTATGTTTAACACTACACTTGAATTATTATTAAATTTAGAAATTCTTTAGCTTTGATAAAATATTTTACCTCCAAGTATTCCTCCAAATGCAATGCTTAAGCTTCTCACTCACAGTAATAGTTCACAGTCATTTGTGAATATGACATTATTAGTATCTGAAAGAGTAATAATAGCTTAATGGAATTTTCTTTCATTCTGGTCTTCGTTATGGGCAGATGCAAGCTATAGAATACCTACTCAAATCAAGATATGCTAAAAATGTACTTGGCTAAGCCACTACCAAAAAGAAAAAATGAGCTCGCCTTCTTAGATTTTAAAGCCAAAATAATGGATTTCCTCTCCCTGTATAATGTTATTTATAAAAGTATGTGGCAGATTTGCAAATGGAAGATGATCTATGTGTTCTTAATTGCTGCTATATAAATGCCCATCAGCTGAGTCATAAGGCCTTATCCGTAAGATTCTGCAGTTGCTTTATGGAACAATTTAATTTTGTTTA